CCTCGCTCCCTGGGGTCACTCACTCCTGGGGACCCCTCACTCCCAGGGGTCACTCACACCCCGGGGTCCCCTCGCTCCCTGGGGTCACTCACTCCCGGGGACCCTCACTTCTCTTTAGTTGCTGTCCACTCAGTTCCGCTGTGTAAATAAACAGCAAGTTTGGACCCTCCACCTTCAGTCCCTAGCAGTCTCATGAAGCACGCGGACGCCCACTGCAGACGCGGAGCTGGACTCAATTTCTCAGTGTTTGTCGCCCCCTGCTGGATGATCCTGGGCCTGCACTTGCGCCCATGGAGCAGATGTTAGATTACCTGTGTCCACCCACCGGAAGGGCAAGGGACCCAGACTGGCATCTAGGGGGCCCACAGGCGTGCTCCTCAGAGTGGGAAACGACGAGGGCCCAGTGGGGCTGGGTGTACAGTGACTACAAGGTGTCTGTCTTCACCACGTCCTGAAACCCCACATGGTTCCAGCTGCCCGTCAGGGTCTTGCTTTGAAGGAACAAGGGTGGCTTCTCGCCCAGGAAGTGCGAGAGTTTCTGAGGGTTGCAGGTGTTACACGTTGAGGAGGGGGCAAGTGAGTTCAGGCATCACAGCAGGCACGGCCCAAGAACAGCCCCCAGGGACCGTCACGCTGAGGGTCTGGGCGTCTGCTGTTTCCCTGTTAACTCAGCAGCTGTCCCAACCAGGGGACAGTTCCCTGGGAATGTGTCCCGTGAGATTTGGGGAAGGATGAGGCCCAGCCAGGAAGAGTCCTCGGTGGGGGAGGCCAAGCCCAGGATGCTGTTTGTGGCTTGACACCCCTTGGTCCCCTGGGCTGGGGTCCTCTTCCTGTGTCAGGGACGGAGTGGACTCAAGGCCAGGTCAGTTCTGGAGTGACCTGGTCACCTGGGTCCCAGTGGCCTACACACAGACTGGTGTCTGGACCCAGCGGCTGCCTTCATATCTGGGGACTGATCCATGATCTCACCTGAATTCAGGGCCCAGAGGACAAGTTCAAGGGGGCTAGGGGAGGGGGTAAGCACTGTACTAACTGCAAAGTGGGCAGGTCAAGTCGCTTTGCAGGGGGCAGTTGTAAAGATTTATAGCCTGAGACACCCTCGACGGGGGCTCTGTGAGATGAAATCGCCATGAGGGCAGTGGGTCTTGCAGGGAGGGCAGGGTCATTGGCAGACAGCAGAGTTCTGCTCCCCGAGTGACCCACAACCCTCCTTGAAGTGTGAGGGAAGGGCTCTTACTGGGCCTGTGTGAACTGTTTGAGGGGAGACAGAGGGGCTAGATGGGGGCCCTCACTCGATCACATGAGGTGTGGTGTCTCAGTGTTCGGGGTCCAATTCCGGTCTGCTGTTCCATGCCCCACCTCTACATTCATGTCTGAGGCCTCCTGGCGCACTGGGAAGGGGCAGGCCAGCGAGAGTCACGCTGCAGAGAAGGAGCATGTTTCAGGTCAGGAGGGGTCCAATGTGCAGCAGGGATGGGGGTCTAAGTGGGTGACAAGTAGCTCTGAGTCCCTCAGGCTGTGGCAGGGATGTCACTGTTCAGTGGGGACAGGTGGCCAGGACCCCTGAGCAGGCCCGTTTTCATTCTGACGGGAGGCTCAGCCTTCCCACACTGGGGTTCGGGAGGCGAATATCTAAGTGACCCTCCATCTGGTGCTCAGTTAACCCACTGCTCCCATGGACCTGGGTGGTTTCGTCACACTGCAGTCATTTGTGAAGGGCCCCGGGTTTAGTTCTCTGAGAGTAGCTGTGGATTGTTGTTGTTGTAAACAGGGTTTCTGAGGAGCAGTTGGTGGGCTTGAATTGCTGATCTTGAGGTTAGCAGTCCAGGCTTCGCCGATAGTGCACAGATGAGGGCTGTTAATGTTCATGTCACAGGTGGGTGGGTGGGTGGTGGAAAACACAGGGCGGGTCCTTCCACACCTCATGCTTCCTGGTCCCCAGGGTCACTCTTCTTACGGGCTCTTCACTACGGCCCAGTAGGGTCCAGTAACCTCTCGCACAGCCATACTGACAGAGCGTGGAGCCCCCAGGAGCCGTTGGCAGTTCAAACCTACCAGCTGCTCTGTGGGGGACAGAAGAGGCTTTTTGCTCCCGTTAAGACTGACAGCCTCGAGAACCCTATGCAGGGTCTCTGTGAGGTGACACTGACCTGAAGGGCTTTGTGGGAAGGGGATGGACTCTTGGCAAGATGGCCATGGAGAGTCTCAGGGCTGAGGCCACTAACATTACACAGCGACACCTGGTGGAGAGTGGAGGACGTGCTCTGGAGGTTACTCAACAGGACGGAGCAGCAGCGGTGGCCTTGAAAACGTTTTGAGGTGCACAGCAGCTAGTGTGTCACCTGCGGGCGCAGCCAGCCTCCAAGGGGACCTTGGGCGTTGGGGGTGGGAGTGGGGGTGGGGTGCAGACACAGGCCCTGCTGAAGGGAGGCACCGGGCCACCCTGGGACACAAGCAAACTTCCCGCTCATTACACAGACCATCTCCCTCTAAGCACGCTGCTGACAGGCCACATTCCCTGCTCAATGGGACATTTCCCCTCACCCAATCACAGCTTGGAAGAAGAAGGCCTTTCCTGGCCAGACAGGAAAGCAGGGGACAGGGCAGGTGGGGTGCTGAGTGGCTCCCTGTGAACAGGGGGCGCTTCTCACTGTGAGGAAGCAGACCTGCCGGTTTCCATGACTACATGTGACTGTCCACACCTGATGAGGAGCATCAGCTACTGCTGCAAGCACACCTGTAGACTGTTTATGGAGAGATGACGTTCCATTAGAACATCAAAGAAGGAATGTGACTATTAAGAAATCTCTCAACACCAGAGCCGGATCAATCCTTTACGTAACAGTGAAAAGACACACTTAGGGCTCACGTCAACAGAAATATAGCTGCTTTAACAGGTCAACAAACAATCAAAAACAACAAAATAGACTGGAGGAAGGAGTGTCTGCCCTCATGGGCTGGAGCTGGTCTTGAGGTGAGGCCCAAGGACAGGCTCTTTGCCTGTGTCTTGTTCCTCTCCATGGGGCTGGGGAAGGTGCTGGAAGCAGTCCCATCGTGGGCGGAGTGCTGTTCCTCAGAAAGTGACCAGTCCCATAGTCGGGGATGGCCCTCAGGAGGTGAGCTTGGAGTAGTTGGGAGGAGAGAGCTTTCGCTTTAGATACTTGAGGGTGTAGAGTGGCAGACAGCTGACCAGTGTGATGGCTGACACTTTCCACAGGAAGGTCAAAGTTGTGATGAAGGCAACGTCTGCAGGGGACACATCGGAAAGGTGTCAGCATTTAGGTGGGCACAGGGACTTATGTCACACGGCAAGGACCTGATGAGGTCTCACACCTCACAGCGACGGGGACTCACATCTCACAGTGACGGGGATTCACACCTCACAATGATGGGGACTCACACCTCACAGTGACGGGGACTCACACCTCACAGTGATGGGGATTCACACCTCACAGTGATGGGGACTCACACCTCACAGTGACAAGAACTCACACCTCACAGTGACAGGGGCTCACACCTCACAGTGATGGGGATTCACACCTCACAGTGACAGAGACACCTCACACTGACAGGGACTCACACCTCACAGTGACAGGGATTCACACCTCACAGTGACAGAGACTCACACCTCACAGTGACGGGGACTCACACCTCACAGTGACAGAGACTCACACCTCACAGTGACAGAGACTCACACCTCACAGCGACGGGGACTCACATCTCACAGTGACGGGGATTCACACCTCACAGTGACGGGGATTCACACCTCACAGTGATGGGGACTCACACCTCACAGTGACAAGAACTCACACCTCACTGTGACAGGGACTCACACCACAGTGACAGGGACTCACACCTCATAGTGACAGGGACTCACACCTCACAGTGACAGGGATTCACACCTCACAGTGACAGGGATTCACACCTCACAGTGACAGAGACTCACACCTCACAGTGACAAGAACTCACACCTCACAGTGACAGGGATTCACACCTCACAGGGACAGGGACTCACACCTCAGTGACAAGGATTCACACCTCAGTGACGGGACTCACACCTCACAGTGATGACCCCATTATGGAGGTTTCCTGGCCCTCTCTGAGGTGTCTTGCAGAGCCAGTTCAGGGTCATGCTTGGATCCTCCTCCCCACAGAATGGCTCACCTGGACACCAGGTGTACTGATGTGACCAAACACCGCTTCACACCTGTACCTGGTGCTGAGAGCGGTGGCACTCTGGGAGCTCACACCAAGGAGTGGCCTGTCCTTGTACAATCTGCTTGAGTGGTTGAGACTAATTGCCTGGTGTGGTAGCGGCAACTTTACTGGAGGTTTCAGGTGTCCGTCTGTACATGTGCACGTGGGTCCTCAGGATATGCCTTACTCGCCCCTGCTTATCCTGAGGGAAATGTCCCCGGGGCCCAGCAGCCACTGTATGCGTGAATGTTGCGTCACATGCAAGAAAACTGCCTTGGAAATGAACTGTTGGCACTTGTGGCGAGAACAGGTGTATGAGGAACCTACACTGGCCAAGCTTAGGTCGACATGCTGTGGCAAGCCCTTACATTGTGTGGGCAGGAGTCCACCAACTACACAAACTACTGGCCACTGTCTCCTGAGCTGGGTCCCACAGGGCTCAGAGCCACACTTGTGTCTGATTGTGATTTGAGAATCCCAGGTACTCAGACATTAAAACTTATAAGGTGGGGGGGGGGTTTACAACTTTGCAGAGAGGGGTGCCCGTCACCTGTAAACACCACACTTCCTGCAAATGAGCCCAGCAGCCTGCACACAGTTAGCTTGCTTCAAGACAGTGGTCACAAACGCAGCATTTTATGAAGCAGAAGGTGCACATGCCACACACATCAGCAGACGTCCAAGGTGAGTTAGTGAGACCCAGGAAGTCACAGATGTTTTCCGTATCAGTTGAGTCTCTCTGTCAATATTATTTTGCTAAATATCTATACAGTCTTTTAGGAAATGATAACACACCTACCTAAGAAAGCTCCAAAGGACATTCTGCCTATACCTGCTCCAGACAACACAGGGAATGAAGAAAAAAGGGACAGGTTAAGGGAGGTCAGTGTGCTTCAAGCAGCTAGCTGGCCAACACAGACGTACATTAACAGCAGGAAAAGGATGCTGGGACGTGCATTTGTAATTGTGCTTAACGCTTTCATTTCATTGCCTGTTAAAAGTTGTAAACATCACTGAGACATAATAACTAAGTTTCTGTAACTTTATAAACACAAAGCTTGCCCTCCTGGACATGCTCCAAAACAGACCCATGGACATGAGTGTTCACAGAGGCCACAAGGTGGATAGAGTCTAAGTGGCCACAACACAGAATGCGTGAGCACACCGTGGTCCATGCACAGCATGGACTACTTCTAAGTCATGAAGAGACATGAAGTCCTGCTTACCACAATGTGGCGGACTTTGATAACAGCAGGCTGTGTGAAGTTCGTCACAAAAGGATAAACAGTGTATGATTTCACAGGCAAACCAGAGAAACCCAGCGTGTTAGCGGTTATCAGGGGTTAACTGAGGTCACGGGAAACGTGGTGAAATTACCCGGAAAAGGACAACGAGGCTGCAGAACTTGAAGCATATCAATGATGTCACTAAATTATACTTTCAGAAATTGTTGAATTGATGTACATAATTTTAACACAATTTTTTTTTAAAAATGAAAGAGGCGTTAGCCCTAAAGTGTGATGCTCAAGAACAAGTCCCCTACGCCCTGGACCCAAGGGTCTTCCCGTATTCCAGGTCTGCTGAGAGTGGGGCCCACTGTCCTCAGCTCCGTCTTGCGCACGGTGGATATCGAGTCAGGAGTTGTATCTTACCAAAGAAAACAGAAGTTTCTGTAAAGTTTCCTGATGTGGGTTTTATCGTGATCCACAAATTAGGACAATAGACTATGAAATCACAAGAAAACAGCCTCACAGCCACTAACACACCATTGTTCAGAAAATAAAGTCAGACAACTCACCGAAGTACTCATTCAGGAAGGCGAGGGAGGCCAGGTAGCAGCCGAAGCTGAGGAACTCGGCCACCACCATGAGCCAGTGCCACGTGCGGATGGTCAGCGCCACCATGAGCAGCTCCGTCAGAATCAGCGCTGTGAAGGAGATGGCCACCACGTGCACAAACTCCAACTCGAACAGCAGCAGCGCTCCGTACATGAGGATGCCGCCTAGGCACAGGGGGGCTGGGCTTCAGTGCTGGCCTTCTCCACACTGAGGACCACCAAATCAGCCCAGACAAGTGGGCAGAGTGCTGAACTGATCGATGAGTGAGGAGATGTGGTCAGTCGTCAGATGAGAAATACCGAGTGAAGGCTCAAGTGGGTTCTAGCATCTGGAGGTCAAGAATACCTGGACCTGCAGGTGACCTGGTACAGTGAGGCACACCTGTCTATCTGGGATCACACTTCCAACAAAGCCCATGTACCAGGATAAAGTCCATGATCGTCTCATCCTATTTCCCCACCAACTGTCTGAAGACCCCGCACATCTGCACTAACACAGCAGATGACACCTGGCTTCTGACTGCGTCACTCCCAGACCCCCGAGGCTCGCCACCACTCTGGGAAAGGAAGACGCAGGCATACTGCATCAACGTTCCTCTGTGTGAGCATCTAATTAACAGCAGGTCAGTTTGGAGACCCACCACACCAGTCCAGCCCCACACTGCACTGTTACGTGCTCTAATCCCCCCAACTGCAGGAACAGCTACTTACCAGATGAACACAAAGCAACAGTTAACTGCTGGTTCAATTGTTAACTTTTGTAATTGAACAAAACACCAGTAAAAACAACATTGCTAACAGAAGATGAATAAACCCTGTGACCAGTTAAATCGGGGTCTTCTCTTACCTTGGTAAATACTGATTAAAACCCAGATGAGGAAGGTCTTAAAGGACAAGGATCTTCCCTAGAAGGAGCAGTAGGACAGGTGAGTTAGCCAAGTAGGAAAGCATGCTGAGCCGTGTACTCCCAAGGAGCTCGGGCCCGGTAACTTCAAACTCCAGCTGGAAGACTAAGTTGACTCTCTTCCGCGGCCCCTTTCTGTGAAGGGCCAGCCAGGAAACACTACTCGACTCTGCCGTGGCACGCAAGTAACCAGAGATAACGTGCCAACAAACAGGTGTGACTGTATGCCAGGAAATCTCCATTTACAAAGAAGGGGCGACTCCTCAGCTCTACTGGGACCCCTGAAAAGGCCCTTCTGGGACCTCCCAGATTCCCGCACATGGCCTCCAGGAAATGCGAGGCCCACCTTGGTGAGGTCTTTGTACAGCTCAGGATACAGCAGGGCCGTCTCTGGCTTCACATCTTGGTCCAACACCAGAGAGAACACTGGGAACATGGTGTAGATGGTGGCGTACCTGCAAATCCACAGCAAAGACTTCAGGTGGCAACTACGCAAATACAGTAGGACTAAGCATATTTGCTGGGGCGCACTGGCGGTCGAAACCCACCAACTGCTCCTTGGAAATCCTATACAGGGTTGCTATGAGTTGGAACAGATTTAATGGCACTTGATAACAAAAATGCAAATACGGTGCAACTGTGCAAGCCCGGCAGAGCTATGCAAATATGGTCTGACTAGGCGAAAAGGGAACCACCACGCAAATGAAGTGCAACTATGCAAACAGGGCTGTTGCTAAGTGTCACCAAGTTGGTTCTGACTCATAATGACCCTGTGTAAGGTTCTGAGGCTGTAAATCTTCACAGGAGCAGGAAGCCTTGGCTTTATTGTGCAGGGAGACTGGTGAGCTTGAACCAACGAACTTGTAATTCACAGTCCAGTGCTTACCCTGCAGTGCTACCATGCTTCCACGCAAATAAGGCGCAACTATGCAAGTAAGTCTAGAATTTGAGGTCAGAGTTTCAGAAACCACACCACAAAACCTCGAAACAAAAGCTAGCAATCAAGAAAGCCCATTCCTCAAACCTAAGTCTTTATCCACAGAACACTAACACATTCTACAGGTCCAAATGCTCACAGGGAGAGCTAGCTTATTAAAATTTTTATTAAACGTTATTATTCAGAGACAATGAAGGAGCCTCAAAAAGGGCCTGGGAAGACAATGGAAGGAAAATCGAACGTTCCCATGTACCCTTTCCAGTCCCATGATGGTACCATGGAAACCTCAACATCTTGATGGGAAACGTCCCGTCTGTCACAAGGTTCCTCTCCTTCCTGGTGACCCATCTTTGAACCTCTGCAGCCACCACTGTGACCTCCATCTCTACAACGCTGTCATTGTAGAACCCGTGTGTAAGCTGTGAGGACTAGCCTTTTCCTTCATCTTCACAGTTTAAGTCTCTTGAGATCCGGTCTTACATGCATGTTTAGTGCTGAGTGGTTTTCCATGATAAGGGCCACAGTCTATTCATCCCGTGAAAGACCAGCGGGGTTGTTTCTCGCTTTTGGCGATGGTAAAGAAAATGTCCGTGAACACTTCCAGTACAGTTTTTATGTGAAGATGTACTTTCACTTACTTGTGGTAAGTGCCCAAGAGTCCAGTTGCAAGGTTGTATCAGTGGCGTATTCAGAGTGTTTAAAAAGTTGTTAAATGTTTTCCTCAGATGGCTGCTGTACCACGTTATGTCCGGCAGTAACGTGTGTGATCTAGTTGTCTCACCTGTACCAGGTTTGTGGCCGTTACAGATCATTCAGTGGTCCCCACAGGTGAGCTGTAGTAGCTAGCTCATCAGCGTTCGTCTGAATCTCCATCCCAGTGGGGAAAGATGCCGGAGATCTTTTCTGTGCTTTGTCCCCTGCACATCAGGTTTGGTGGAATGTCTGCTCATGTCCTATGTCCATCCGCTAGGTGTACAGCGATCATTTTACTGCTGCGGTTTGAGAGTTTTTTATACATTGCTGATCAGATGGCTAGCAAATATTTTCTCCCTGACTTTCAGTCTCGGAACATGGTTTTTCACAAACACTCCTAAACTTCGAGAGGTGCGAGCCATTTTTCCGTTTAGGGGTTGTGCTTTTGGGTCCAGGCTAAGAACCACTGACTTAATCCTGTTACCAGAAGCATTTCTCTTACACTCTTTGTCTTCAAGTTTTACAGAACTAATTCATGATCTGTTTTCAGACACTATTTGTATTCGGTGTGAGTTACATGTGTTGGTCACAGTTCTCCAGAGAAACACAACCAGTATACTTTCTATTGAGTTGTTTGATCATTTTTTAGGAGTTAGCATGGTTACGAATCGGGCTGCTAATCTCACGGCCAGCAGTTCGAAACTACCAGCCGCTCTGTGGGAGAAAGATGAGGTGTTCTGCTCCCGTAAAGATTTACAGCCTTGGAAACCCTATACAGGGTCGCTACGAGTCAGAACCGACTCCACGGCACATAACCACCACCACCATCACCACACCTTACTGTGGGGGAATAGTTTTCCATTTAGTTCTGTCAATGATGTATGTACTGTGGGACTCTGCTGTTTGCTGCGTCTTCCGGGTGGGCTGGTTCATCTGTCATTCTATAGTTCCTTTCTGTCACTGCTACTTTCTTGTGATGAACATACACATGAAGGACATTTTTCTGTGCTACTTTCACTTTGCCTATAGCCATTGTGTCAAGTGGGCTTCTTATAGGCAGCATATAGCTGATCCGTGGCTTTCCTTAAACCCACTTTGCTTATTTCTGTGACTTAACTTGTGAATTTAGGCAATTTAGATTAAATGTGGTTAATGATAAGGCCACTCCTTGTCTGTCAGTCTGTTGCACTCTGGTGGCTGTGTGCTGCTGTGATGCTGGGAGTCAGACTTGTTGTTGTTGTTGTTAAGTGCCGTCGAGTCGGTTCCGACCCATAGCG